TATTTACGTAAATATCTTAGAAAATAGAGGTCGTATAAAAAATTTTTTCAAACAAAAGTTGTTTGCTTTTTCACGTAGAATAAAATGCCGTAATAAAAAATATGTATTTCTATCTAAAAAAGCAAAGTTGACCTTGTCCTGACCTTGGCGACGTCATCTTAGGTCAAATAGCTACTGTCATTAAATGCGACTTTTTAAGCCTTACAACTTTTATTCGAAACATTTTTCTCTAAAATGCTCCCCCGCCGAGTTTTCTTGCCGTTGCCAAACTTATGGGACACACTGTATATGTATATATATATATATATACTGAAAAAAAAATATATAAATATACCCAGTAATCACAATTGCGACTCAGATTCACGCAGAGAAAAAATTAAGCAAGCTCGATCGTGTGGCTGCGGAGTGGCTGTGGAGCAGAGTTGCCACATCTTAGATGTGGTACCTCTGCTGTGGAGTCGCAGCGAGAAAGAGAGAATGACATTCTCTCTCACTCGGCGTGCTGAACTCGACCGAGCGCGTGTAGTCACACGGACAGACAGAAGCGTCTTTGTGTGAGAAACGGTCGGTATTGTCATCGTTCTTCAATTACCTCCGGGCACCTCTGGACCCTTTAGCTGTGTCGAAAATTTAGTCAGGGTTGACAGTATTTAGTAATATCTCGTCGGTGGTAACGTTTTTACTTCTTTCTCTTTCTTCATTCGAATCCGAAAAATAGAACAAGAAAGAGAAACGTTGCGCAGAATTTGTAGCGGTTACTGGACCGCGCCCTTACTCTATTTCAATAGATAGCTTTTACAACGCTATATTTGTTTACATTTTTCTTTGTACTTTATATTCTTCATAAGTTGTTATTCGCTTAATGTGTTACAATTCATAGAGATTTAACATTGAATTTCAAAATAAAACTGTATGAGTTTTATTCTGAATATTTGTAATTATGATGAACTTGTTAATTACTTAATAGAACATAAAGTTACTAAAATCAAATCAATTATTATGTCTACATTATATTCTAAAATGTATTAATTATTAATTTTACAGTAAACAACAAACTAAAATCTCGACTTGTGTAAAAGTTTTTTAAGCACGTACACACACACACACACACACACACACACACACACACACACACATACTGCTCGCCTGCACGCGCGCCCACCCGGACGGGCTCGCGGTGTGTGCGTGTTCCTATTTGACGAAGGGGGAGGGAGAACAAAGTCTGTTATACTTAAGCTAAACAGTGAGAATTTCTCACAAGAGTGTGAAAAAGTGTGTTATATATAAAACTTCAAATATAATAGGAACACACGCACACACCGCGAGCTCGAGCGGGCGGGCGAACAGTGTGTGTATGCGTGCGTATGCAATTGAACGTAACATACGCATATACGTGTACCATTCATATATTGAGGCGTTTTTTCGTTTCGTGACCACGGTAGCATTTGGTTGGTTAGTTTAGTCCACTTAACGCTCGCAACGCTGCGAGCGTCATTCTATGGGTGCGGTCCAATAACCGCTACAAATGCTGCGCAGCGTTTTTCCCTCTTGTTCTATTCCTCAGATTCGAATGAAGAAAGAGAAAGAAGTAAAAACGCTACAAAGCATTTGCAGCGCTCACTGGACCGTACCCTATCTTTGTTGCTCGAGGCGTTGCGAGCGTTAAGTGGACCAACCAACCAATCAAACGGTATCGTGGAAACGAAAAAAACGCCTCTGTTTACCATATTTTAATGTATATTATGTACCACAATTACATTCCGTTTATAAAAGTTTTTTGTCAATAACTTTTTAACAAACATAAGCGACGGTTAAAATCTTTTGCAAGTTACTCAGAATCATGACCTTGACAACATATATCAAGGTAATTGAAATTTATGAGATTGCCACTATTACGCACAATTACCAGCGTAAGTAAGAATTAATGTCAGAACAAGTCATAAGTAAACATAATATTGTCAATATAAATTGTGCAAAACAAACATAACATTAAACTCAAAATTCTAATCCTGGTGCATCTTTCAATATTTTAATTTCGTCCATTATATTATATACGTATCCCATAATAGTCTTCCAAAACCAAACGTTACTCACCAATAGCAAACCAATAGAAATCCAATATTAGGATCGAAAAGTATGTTTGCTAATTACGTATTTACTCATTCGAGTCTATCAATATTAAATTAATTTTGATTCACGCATTAACTTCCGCATATTGGCTTCTACTGACCCTCTGTGTTTTTATATCCTTTTGATTGTAATGGGTACCATAATATGCGATAGATATATAGATAATGAGTCTCATCATTGTATATTTGTACATACATTAATCAACGGTTTCAGTAAATTCGATTGGATAAAATTTTAGAAAAAAGAAAGAAGGGAGAATGTAAATTTTACTATTATGTTAAAGTATACGTACCAGTTTGTAGACGACTTTTTAAGATATCGGGTGGCATTCCCACCAACCAATTCGCAATGCCTGCAAAACCACCAGCTGCTATAGTAGCCAGTAGACTAAGTTTCCCTCCTTCAGGAGTGAATTGTTCTTTCAGATATTCATACGACATGAAGTACATACCACTGGCTGGGATATCTGAAAGTATTCGAGGCGATAGCAAATTAGTAATCGCTTAAGTAGTCTTACGCAGGCCGAAAATGACACATAAACATTATGTACAATTAATAATAGCGAGTAGAGCGTGTGGGATGACAGATAAAAGACATCCTGTTTGATAAGTAGCATCAAGGCATATAGATAACAGTTAACAAAATCCAGTTTCCTTCGCGCCAGCGAGCTGTTACTGGTCTTATGTAGCGTGCTCTGTTTCAAAATCATAGTTCAAATAGTGATACAACATGGCACCTGTTCTCTTATTTCTCGTCGTTTTGTTTTTGGTACATACAACATTTTAATATCTCATCGCACTCATGCATCGTTAATTAGCCAACTGTATTTTCTTTGTAATCATTGCATACCGATATTTAATGCGTACCGAAATACGACAATTATGAAACCAAATCATACGTAAAATAAACGAAATCTAATTGAAGTAAAATAAAAAATTTGTATTAATTAATTGCGGGAAGTAAACTTTAAACTCTACGCACGACATGTATTCCGTGGCAACAAAATTGATTCAAGCTGCGTTATGTACAGGATCAGTGTACAGGACATATTATCGATATCGGTAGTGTGTGGGAGATACAATGTCCGCAAGGATGTACTTGCGAGATCCAAAAGTTTTCTGATCTGCCTCTACACCAATGGACCGATACTTATAGAGATAAAGATCAGGTACGAACACATAAATCAAACATTATGCTATCGATACGTTTCATAATCAATGTTTCCATTAAACAGGATGTATCATTCGGCCATGACGTCTTTAACATGAACGACGACCATCCTATGGCTCACGAGTTATTAAAAATTGCCACATGTATAATTGTTGAAAATCCTAAAGAACTTTTGGATAAACTTCCATTGGATATACAGGTCACATATAGAACTTACGTAAATTTTGTGTTTACTCTTATGTTTATGTATGTATGATGTATACATATACAAACATAAAATTTTTTTTTAATAAGTGTAAATTAGGACTAATAACTTCTTTATTTCACTAACAAAATTTTTCGCATAATATTTTTCTTTAATTTTCTAAGTTCGGTCTTTCAATTCTTATTAGTATATTTTCTTTAGCTAAACACAGATAATAATTAATGATAAGGAATAGATTGGAGCAAAATCGTAACTGTGGAAGATAGATCTTTAATTAAATAATTAATATGTTAAAAAAATTGGAAGAATACTAGTTGTCTCAGCAATGAATTCTTCTATTGTTATAAAATGTGTATACATAATTAAGTAGTTGAAGCCGGGCTTTAAAATCGAGATTAAGTTATTGTTCCGTTATTTTATATAAAATATTTCCGAAATAACATACTTGTAATTTGCATTTATTTGAATCTTTCGAAAAACAAATTTATTTTGATTTATTTATTTGTTATTTTCTTACTTTCTTTTAGGTTCTTACATTACTCGAATCTGGTAATGGAGACATTGATATTCCTCTGCGAGCTACAACATTTCAACGCTTCACAGAATTAATATCGCTGGATATACAAGGAATAGATTACAGTGATCCGTCTGTAAAAGAGGCGAACAATCATACGTACAGAGAAAAAGGCGGAATCCGTCTTTCGCCCGATACTATGTTCCCTCTTGGACTCACTTTGCTTTATTTAAATCTGGAGCGAGTTAAATTGACAAATTTGGACATACCTAATAAGAACAAAGCAAACTTAGTGATTAAGCCAGTGAATTCGGATAAAATTGAGACAATCGATGACGATCAAGCACCCATAAGCAATATTAGTCAACATAAAGGACACAGACTTATATTTTTGAGTCAGCAAAACAACGGAGAGAGTGACGATAAAGAAATATTACCCTATGATCTCTACAAACAAGAATTGGAAGGTTACAGAGAAAATATTGAGCTATTCGCAGCTCTTGGTACATTGACGTATTTAAGAGTGTACGATTGTGCCTTGAAAGATATATCTTGGCACTTGTTCGATGGCCTCAACAGTCTGCTTTATCTTTCGCTGGAGAAGAACAATTTGAAATTCATTCCCGAATTCTGTTTTTACGGCACGCCAAACTTGAAATCGTTGTCACTAGCGGGTAACGAATTATTAACGCTAAAGAGCGTAGACTTGGCAGGATTGCTGATGCTGGAGCATCTAGATTTGAAACAAAATAATTTAACGTTTCTATCAGAGTTGTCGTTTCCACCATTTCCGGCGCTTGTAACAGCCGATTTCACGGACAACCCTTTGGATTCCGTTTTCCCAAGGTGATGAATAATTTTGCGCACAACATCTGTGATGAAGTGTACCCGACCAAGAGCGTATGTATATTCATACTAAAGAAGATATCTGTTTCAGTACGTTCGAAATTATGAATACAACGACAAAACTGTATCTCGGAGGCGCGGCGTCGAAGCTAAAATTGCAGAAAAATTCATTAGTGGGTCTACGTCAAGCTAAAATACTGCATCTGTACAATCTAGAAATACCTATACTGGAACGGTTTATCTTACACGGATTGCCAGCGTTGACGCACCTCAAGATGCGAGGAAGCGTCACGAACATTGACTTCGATGCATTTGTCGATCTTCCGAATCTGTTGGATCTGGATCTGAGCCAGTGTCATATCCGAAGAATTTCTATGGACGCGTTCTATGGCTTAGAGAAAGTCAGAAAAATCGATTTGTCGGATAATGATCTAGAATCAATACCACCCGGCTTATTTACTGTTCAACAACAAGAAGAACTACGGGAAATTATACTCACGAGAAACAAATTAACGTCATTACCTTTCGACTTCTTTAGAAACCTTAGGTTACTGAATAAACAAACACAGATGCAAAGTGTAAGACTGGATGGCAATCCTTGGGATTGCACGTGCATGATGATCAATTGGAATTCTCACTTGGTAACTAATATTTCATCTGATTTCTCTAAATAGCGTATCCCATCTTAACTTTTGCATTTTGATACTTCAAAAACTAAAAGTTTTAGCCAGAAATGTTTCAAATAAAAGTTGTAGGGGTAAATGATGACAAAATTTATTTGACCTTAGAATGTGTGTAAATGTATGAAAGCGTGAGTGAGAGAGAGAGGGGGGGGGGAGAGAGAATGTATGTGTATATGCGTGGCCTTGTAAAGCCCTATCAAAGTCAACTTTCACTTTTTATAGAATCTTCATTTTTAATATGATTTTCTTAAACATAAATTAATTCTAGTCATTTTATGTAAGAGAGTACACTGAAGTTCAATCATCAAAAAATGAATATTTTCCTTTGGCGCACAAAATAATTTATATTTTATCCTAATACATTTCAGTGTAAGATATGAAGTGTCTCATAAAGTATTCATTTTTCGATAACCTTACCTTTATACTTTTGTATAAAAAATTAAGTCATAAAAAAAGCCTTAAACAAAATTTAATTGCATTTTGCATACAAAATACAATTAAATTTTGTATCAATATACAAAGATTAGTATCGCCGATCGATTTCTCTCGTCATTCTATGTACAAAAGTATTTAAGTGAGGTTGCCGAAATGTAAATAATTTATGAGATAGTCTTATCTTGTAAAAAAATATCAGAGCAAAATGTAAAATACCTAGTTTATTTCAGTACTTTTACACGTAGAATAACCAGAGAAATGAATTTATGTAAAAAAGAAATATATGATTTTATTTAAAAATTAAATTTAGCTTTATAACAGGGCTCTTTATAAGGTCAAATAAATATCATCATCTTTCCCTCTCAAAATCCTATTACTATTATTTTAAACTACTATTATTTTACTACTTTTACATTTTAAACTTATTAAAAACTCTTAGTTTTTGAAATATCAAAATACGAAAGTTAAAATAGAGCACTCCGCATGTATACATTTCAATTATTCATATATAAATAATGCTTTATTAATAGTTAATAGATAACTTCAATTATTAACAATTTTACACAACACAGGTCAACAGAAATAAAGAGACTGCTCCTCGATGTTTGACGCCAAAACGATTACAAAATTGGGGGGTTTTTTATGCGTTACGTAAAGGTGGTTTTCAATGCGGAAGTCTGAAAAAACGATATCTTCGAAAATCTCTGAAGAAAAGAAACTATGAAGAGGATAACAATATCAGTTAGCTAATTTCTCTTCAAATTACGTATGTGTCAACGCAAAATCCAAAAATATATTGAAAATTTGTATAAAATGCTAATTTCTAGAAATGTATTTTATATATAATTTTTTTTTAGGTAAGTAAAATTGCATGTTTGTATAGTAAATTTGTATGAAAATTATCTAAACCTTTTCTAGAATATTCATACAATAGTTTAATATATAATAATACTACGTATACGTAAGTGGGTAAATGTTTCGATGAACTTACCTGCCTTCAATCATCTTCATCTTGAAATATGTTATAAAAGATGTAATTCTGAACAACTTTTCCTAATACAATTATATGGTGATCGCTTATAATTTCTGAAATATTAATTAAAAAGGTGTCTGTCCCTAGCCGTGTGACTGGGGGGCTACGCCCCCAAAACCCCCCACACCGGGCCGGGAGGAGGGGAGGAGCACAATCTTTTGTGTTTAAAGGTACAATTTCATGATGTTGCTTGTCGCCAGCGATGAGTGGTCACGTGACCGAATTCTCCCCCATTTCGTCCGCTTTCTTATCGCTAGCGACAACTATGATGAGTAGGATTGAACTCAACTTTTAGCGACGTCACATGATAACAGTAAACATGAATACGGAGTGCAAAATGTAAGTACAATAAATAAATACATAAATACAGATTTCTTATATTTATTTGATTAAAAAATGGAATAAATAATTAATCGAATAAATATATAATATCATACTCAAAAGAATCTAGCTTCTTATAATTTTGTTGTTAACTGTATCGTATAATAATAATTCCGGAACTTCTCTGATATTAATCTGGGTACAGATACATAGTAAAATCCATGTTCACGTCGTTTTTCAAATAATGAATCAATCTAAAATCTCTTTTTCTTATATCTTCTTTTTGAATTTGTATATTCATTTATGCATATAGCTGCTATTAGTTTATTTCGTTGTCGTTCTTCATCATTTTTTATGTGCATAATTACAATAACTTGACAAATTCACTCGTAATATCTTTTTGTTCGTATAACATTTTATTTCTTTCTTGCTCTCTGAGCGAATAAACAAAACTTTCTGGACTTTATGTTACGCTACACAATCAATGGCTGCTCAACAGTTGCACAACAGTTGAGCAATTTGTTAATGTAATTGATCTATGGATCTAACAGCAAGAGCCAATAATAGTTGATTGTTCACTGAGCGCTTTTTCTACTGAACGCGCCCAATATAATCGTCAAAATTTCAACGCTAACTTCCCGCTTATCGCTACTTAGACCATTTACACGAGCGACAATTGAAGTTTGTGACATATGAAATCATGTGATTCGTTTGTCGCTGAATATGAACGACGAGCGACAGCATGAACATACATCTTAAGACGATGCTGGTTATCGATACTAGTTTCCTTTCGTTTCCTCTTTTCTTCTAATTGCGTGCATGAAACTGCAAATGCTTTTACAGCGTAAAAGTATAAGTGATAATAAATGTCGCATATTAAAAAGTATGCATCAAAATCAACAAAAAATTTTTTATTTATTTATATTATTTATTAAAAATGCGATGTCATATTTAGTTTTATGTGACAAATTTAGAGCTCATAAAATGTATAGTATGTGGTATAGAGACGACTTTCAAGAACATTATGAGGGCATCGCAAGTGGATTTTAATAGATAGTTTAAACAAAAAGAGAATTCCAGGAATAAGCGATGTGTGCGTTTAAGGATCACGTGGTGAAGAAGAGCTGATTTTTAGTTCACGCATGTCTCGGCAGAAATCGCTGTACCTTGAGCTAACTATTTATACGGAACGAAGACGATCGTCAAAGGCTGCGTTCGGGGAGACGCTATTTAGCGCTATGAGTGTGCTCTATTCTTGTTTGTTCCAGAAAGTTGAACAAGGACAGAGAACGCTCATAGCGCTAAATAATGTCTTCCCAAAAACGCAGCCAAAATGTTATATTTGATAACCGCCAACATGTTCGCGCTACCATTGCACCGCAGTATTTTTTCATATATCGTCCCTTCACAGATGTTATGCAAGTGTGTGTGCTACGTTGTCATTTCAATTTTCTTACACATAGACGTAAATGTGAATGCCACGTTACCGATATTCGCATTCTCTCCGAAATAGGCTTTCGCTGCTTCTTTGAATTTTTCAAACCGCTTGTGTACTGAGTGCATTAAAGAGTTTTTTTCGAAAAGTATGTTGTATACATAAGTATAATTTACGAATATTGTTTTGAAAAATATGTTATCTAACATGTGAACTTTCTATATAATTTGCAATGGAAATTTAAGATATCGTTTTCGTTACGCACTGAGCAATGTTTCACTATGTTTTCGTACGTAATTTTATCTTATAAATTGCAGCAGTAAGTGCGCTGTAATTTTTGCAAAAGGAAATCAGTGTCACGATGGCAATACCCTTACGAAAAAACCCCAAAAATTGAGTGTTAACCCTAAAAATTTGGGGGTAGATCCTCCAAATTTGGGGGTAAACCCTCAAAATTTCAAGGTAGACCCCAAATGATTCGGTGTCAACTCTCAAATTTTGGTGTTAACTCTCAATGAGTAGTGTTAAACATGAAACTTTTAGGGTAAACCTCAAACGATTCGGTGTCAACCCCCAAACTTTAATACTCACACCCAATTTTAGGTGTTAACATTTAATCTTTCAGATTAGACCCCCAAATGTTTCGGTGCCAACCGACAAGTGATTTTGATGTTAATCCCGAACAGTAAAAAACTAAAATAAATAAATCCCTAATAATCGAAATTTATTCGCAAAAGCAACAGTCATTTGTATATGTTGGCCAAACGTAAGATCGGATAATAATCAACCTACATGGAAATTATTTGTACTAAAAAAATTTATGTTAGTCAAATTTAGTACATATAAATCGTATATGCTGTGCGCAAATTTTAACCCAGATAGCACAAAGAATTAAAAAAGAATTAAAAAATAATTCAGTCGTATGTCACAATTCTGAGTTCATTTTCAGATGCAAAAAGAATTCTTCAAAGTTCAGTTTAGTGAAAAGAATTCTTTTTGCATCTAAAAATAAATTCTTGGGAATAAGAAAGAATAAGTGACATACGACTGAATTCTTTTTTAATTTTCTGTGCTATCTGGGAAGATAATAACGTACTTATTTTACATAACTGACGAAATAACGTATTAATGAATAACTAAAAAAAGGTTTTTAAAAATAATATTGAAATAATACATATATCCTGACTTTCATTCAGACTATAATTTTCACTTTACTATCCCATACAGCACAGAAGATTGCAGCAATATTGCTATAACGTTGCAACATTGCATATTGCAGTGCAATGTTGCAGGAACATTGCAGTGGCATTAATTTGAAATATTATTTTAGCAATATTATAGCAATATTTAAAAAATATTACGAATATAATATATATTATATTAGTTATAGTTATATTATATTATTAGAATATATATTATTATATTAGTATTATTTTAATTATTTACTGGTTATTCAATGAACAAACAATATTTAAAAAAACATTTTTAAAAAATTTAAAAATACATTTTTATAACGTTAAAAATAATGGGATACGTTCTCTTTTTTCATTAAAATAACGATTTTTGATGTTTGGAAAATTACTTTGTTTTTTAATATTTAATAAACATTTATTTTAACATTTAAAAACGTTTTCCTAAATGTTAACATTTAACATTTAATATTTAAAAAATATTTTCTAAATGTTAAAATAAACGTTTATTAAATTTTAAAACATTTTTCCAAATGTCAAAAAACATTAAAAAAACGTCTGTTTAATAAAAAAAATTTACCCCATTATTTTTAACATTTTAAAAATGTTTTTTCAAATGTTTTTTTTAATTGTAATATTTTGTAATGTCAACACCTAGGTAAACATATTTTACATAAATATTTTATGCATATATCTCTGACTTCTCTTTTATTATATAACATATTTTACATAAATATTTTATGCATATATCTCTGACTTCTCTTTTATTATATAAAATATTTGAACAATAAATAATTTATTTTGTGATTGTACTAAATAATATTATAAGAAAGTTATAATTAGTACTTCGGCGGCATAATAAAAAAAACATTTAGTATCAGTTGAAGAAATAGTGCAGTAGCCAAGGTGGTAGACTAGGAATCTGAAGGTGTGTGAGGTCTCGAGTTCGTGTCCGACCAGTACTGAGTAAATTTTTTGGTGCGAAAATAGTGAGAAATCAAATAAAAGAGCTAAATTTCATTTAAAATCATAAGCTGACTAGTTGCAATCGTTTCTGCAAGATATATTTTTCTATTTTGGAGTTACACTTATTTGAGATTTTTGTTTAAGGTTAACCATCATTGAGTTGTTCACCGTTAATTGACGATCCAAATTTACACTAAATATTTGAAGGTTCTTCCGAAGATATTTTTACACAAAAATTGGGTGGTTTTTTTCGTAAAGATAGTTTCACATCGTTTTCACCCCTGAGTGAGGAATGTTGTATTTCATTTTTGCATGTACTTTCACTATAAAGCATACTATCACTATAGCATTTCTAATTTGATTAAGTTAATAAAAGTAATATTTGTAAGAAAATGTCCTTTACGTGGTATCAACTTCCTTTGCAAAACTTCCGTTGTACTGATTAGACCAAATTGAAAATCCTTTGACATGGTGAAAGTAAAAATAAAGCGGAACATTCCTCAATATAAGGCAAAAACGGTAAGGAACAGTTACTATCATGACATCAAATTCTTCTACAAATATTACTTCTTTCATGTGCCAAATTATAAACACTTGTATAGTGAAAGTACGCGCGAAAATGAAACGGAGCATTTCTCATTATAAAACAATAAGAAACTACTGCTGTCAGGAGAGAAACTCCTTTTTATCCAACTTTCTTTACACTGATCTTTGCAGAAGGATTCGGTGTCATAATAGTAGTAACTGTTCCTTATTGTTTTTTTCTTATATTGAGGAATGCTCCGCTCCATTTTCGCACGTACTTTCACCATGCAAAAGGATTTTTAATTCGGCGCAGATAGAAAAATATAATCTTTGCAGAAGGATTTGGTGAGAGTAACTATTCCATATCGTTTTCGTCTCATATTGAGGAATGCTCCGCTTCATTTGGTACAATTGTACCAAATCAAAAACCCTTTTGCATGGTGAAAGTGCGTGCGAAAATGAAGCGAAGCATTGCACAATATGAGACAAAAACGATATGGAATAGTTACTATCATAATACCGAGTCGTTCTGCAAAGATTACTTCTTTCTACATGCACCGAGTTATAAACCCTTTTGTATGATGAAAGTACGTGTGAAAATGGAGCGAAGCAT